AGGCCAGTCAAATCATGGTCCATGTATTCAAAAACCATATAGATGCTCCCTTTGTACTTGTTACCATCTGCAGTGCACACAGTGTATCAATTACCTAGATGGTTGGACAACTTTAAGACTGGAAAAAGCAATACATCCACTACAAAATTTCCAAGTGGTGCCAGCCACTGGTGTCTCCGAATCAAACATACCTGGCTTTCCTTGTTCATCCTTCTCGGGACCTTGGGGAATTTACCAAAAACTTCAAATTATAATCATTTAACAAATTCATTAACAAGAAGAAGAAAGGAAAAAGAAAAATATTTAACGAGTACAACCTGGAGAGGTCACGATCTCTTTCAGTTGAATAACATTTTGATGATGAAGCTTCTTTAGAATCTTTATTTCCCGTATGGCTGTTATTGGAAACTGCAAGGCAAAAAGGCTAACTAAATAGTCTATATAACTAGAGAAAAAAAAAGGTATAACTCATTAATCCTAAGAGCCCCCTAAAAGCAAATAATATGGGTGAGCCTAAAAGACAAACCCCTTCTCTTTCGTTGTCCATTCTAATTTTCTTCAGTGCCACTATTTCCCCGGTTCTTGTTTCTCGTGCCATGTATACCTGCCTGCAACCTCACCACAAAACAGAATATTTCTTAATTTTCAAAAAAGAAAACACTGAAGTAATCAAGATGAAATATATCCTTAGTACCTCCAATCAGCTAAAACAAAAAGGATCTAACATTTGGATCCAACATCAGGAATAATACACTTGAGAGGTATTCATATTATAACTATGACAAAGATGATATGATATTATATGCATGAATCAAGATGTGGTATGCTACACATCTTATTATAAGAATTAAAATTAAAAGAAACTTGGGCTCCGAAACCAACACATCAGATAATTCAACGTACAGAACGATCCACGAGAACAGCAAAGAACACAACCTCCTTAACCAGATTTCAAAAAATTGAAAGAAAATTTGCGAGGTTACAGGTCTCAGCGGCACGGCTCGAGGCGACAGTTGCAAGAACGATGAGATTAGAACGGCGTTGCGGGTTCTTGAACTCACCCGTACGTGCCTTCACCGATCTGCTCCAATTTCTCGAAGCAATCGACGCTGCGCGACCCCCAGGACGGGGTCTCCTCGAGATTCAACTGACCAGAAGCGGCCACGGCCATTGTCCACCTCCCGTGCAAGAAACCCCAGAAGAGAAGGGAGAAACAGGATTTCTCCCAAGACTTGAAGAGGTTGGAATCAGCCGATCAGGTAAACCCAACGATGATTGGAAATCGTGGCGCTAGGCTGACCTCGCTAGGGTTTTCGGGCGGTGAATAGGAGAGGGAGGCGAACAAAGGGCGGAGGAGGCGATGGGTTAAGAGGAAAGGGAGGCAGTCGCTGTCGGCTTCTTTTCTATTGGGACTCCCGCGGGCTAAATAAGCCCATATCGCATGGCCCATTAGATATGGATCGACATCTAGTCCAAATCATATTCCGAGGATCTCCACGAATATATCTCCAAAATTTCGTAATTTACAAATATATTAATTAATTTTTAGCATATAATATATATATATATATATATAGTCTCTCTTATATGTTTTACTATATTTAAAGTATATCCATATATTTTATACTTTTATGCTCAAACCAATAACTAATATATTACATGTAACATTCTATTCCTAGTCACACTCATATCTTATATACATAAGTAAAATAGAATATCACTTTTTAGTTCTTTTATTATTATTAATAGGCATATAGTGGAATAATATATAATTTTAAAAATAAAACATATTAATTTACTAAGTAAAATGACAAGATTTCCCTTATACATAGTGATCTTGATGTGTATACATAATTATAATATTTAATCAAAAGAAAAATATACCCGCACAAATGCTTACAAGTCATCGTTCATATCTATACTAGCATAGGCTTACATGTGCTTACTTTCTTGCTCGATCACTTAAGTAAGGTATTAGTATCTTTATATATAAAATATAGTCTATAGTGAATAATCACTTAGTAAGTAATTAAAATACACTCAAAATTATTTGTTATTTCATACGATAATTTAAATATATATTTATAATAATATTACCCAAATAGGAATCAAATAATGATTTGTTATAGTGTGTTGGTCACTATAATAAAAACACTGTAAAAATTAAATGAAAATACTTTAAACGACCTAAATGGACTCATAATCAAGTCAACTATAATCCTAAAAATATGGTATCACAATAATATATGAGCAATGACAGTCACAAAAGTATAATATGATGTTACTTATAATGTTTTTCAATAGTTTTATAATATTTTCAATACCTAGTAAAAATATTGTAAACATTACTAAAAATAATGTAAATGAGTAAAATAAAAACATTATAACGGTTCAAAATTGGTGAAAATTTTGATACAAAAATTTGAGTATTTTTTTTAATTAGGAATACTATTTAAGAAAAATTAAAGGAGACATTGTTTGAGAAAAAGTCGAAATAAGGTCTTTTTTTAATATCTTTAGACTTCCGATGATAGGTAGATATCAAATTTGTTTATAAATCTAAAAACAGATTTACAATTCATACCATAAAAAAAAATTATATTAAAGCATCAAGAAAGTCGATGCTTCCTGTAATAACTTTACATTTGGAACGAACATGTGGGGTTATTTTTATTTGAATGAGGTGCATGAAATAATTTGGAAAAGACCTGTTTTTGAACTTTTCCTGACGGATGTCACTTTTTTTATATATATTTTTCAAATAGCATCCCTGTTTGTTATAATGGTAAAATATTTCTTAACAGAACAGTTTTTTTTAAAAGTAATGATTGCACCTATGAACATATACGTTATCAGTTCAATCCCCAATATATAACATATACATTATCAGTTATGTTTCTTTTTAATAGGGTTTTTTTTTTTCATCTCCATCCAAACGCTATAAATCTGTTCAAAAACATTCTAATTAAGGTAAATTGTATCAACAATCAATAGAAACTAACTCATATACAAAAATATAATTTTAAATAATTATCATTATTAGTTTAGCTCATAATATTATACAATTTTGAAATAAATTGTATAAAAAAATTCAAAAATAAATATATTATGACTAAACAATTGGGCTTGTTCACCGCATGGAACAATCCACCAAAAAGAGTGGGAGTTGCTATTGTAATTTGTTAGGAATTTTTTTAGAAATATAAAATAAAAATAAAAAAAAACTATTTAAAAAAATCAAAAAGAATAATTTTTTTCAAAAAATTCACACAAATCCTTTCACCCAATCAAGAGGAATGCTTGTATATTGGATTAGACAATTTCAAACATCTCAAGTGTCTACAAATGAGTCTCATGGTCTCTACAAAATTTTTAATCTCTGATATAAAAAGTTGCAAAAGTCAAGACCAGTTAATGTGGTTGCCTAATAATCAACACCGCTTCTTGTGGTCATTATTGAAACACACACAGAGAGAGAGAGAGAGAGAGAGGAATGACACATCAATGCAATTAGCCCAAATAGCATGAACACCAATCAAACTACTACCACTCCATAAGTGTGTCAAACTTAAATAAAATACGTGTTTAGTGCATTGGCTCTCAATAAATCGTATCACCTGATAAACTTGATGGCAGATATCACACAAAGCAATTCCTAAGCAAAGTCTAAAACAATTCCAACATGCGAATGCACATGATGGCCTGAAGAAACAAATGAAAAGCGACACAAGGCACTGATGACAAGAAATGTCACAAGAGGCATTCATGTGAATCTTTGTGACTAGGTCACCTGCATCAGTCCACCAAATGACAAGTTGCTTAACTATTTGAGTGACAGAACAAATGGCAAAACACATTTGTATACCTTACGCACAAGGAACTCATACAAATAAAGATACAAGGATCAATTGATTCAGAAACTCGAATGGATTGAGCTCAACGTTAGTTGTAGGCTTATACACAAAAGAAAAAGGTTCACACCAATAAGAAAAGCTCCACTGGAGAATATATAGCAACCGCCAGCAGCAGCAGTTAATCAAGGCAACCCATAGATACAGATTCCTGCAGCTACAAGAACAGCATTCTTCCACTCAACAGCTACAGTCAATCTACACTAGCATAATATAGAACAATCGAATCCAGATAATCAATCTACAGTAGCATAATATAGAACAATCGAATCCAGATAAAAAATCTTAGCAAGTAAGAAAATTGAAAGAGACATTGCATTAAACCTTCATAGCTTGTTGCAGCCATGGGAAACAAGGCATATGTTTGTTCCAAATTATGACTGAGGCACATCTCTGATCCATGCCATAAGTCTAAAGTTGTTGAAGCTGCGCTTTGACGATCAAAAGGCCTACAAGTCAAACCATATGAGCAAAAGGTAGGCACATGTTAGAAGCACAAATTGCTTCCGTAGCGGTGTGGGAAGTAAAACAATCCTTGGCCCCTGGCAAGGATGGTGCTGCATCACATCCAAGTGTCGCTGGAAATCTACTTCTTCCGAAAACATCAGCATATGTTAATTGAAACAAGAAATGGCACGGTCATGACTGCTAACACCACTTTTAAGTGCTAAAAAGATAAAAAACAAATAAGTTGTTATAATTAGAACATGTTCAAATCATAGGGTCAATGACGTTAAACAAACATCTAACATAAGTCTTACCAACTCACAGGCCTAAAAATGTATCTTAGTAAACATGATATAGTGCATACTGGAACCCACTTCTAGCTTCCGTTATGCTGGGACAGCAAAATGACACCACGGGCATCAACCAAACATCATTCAATCATCAAGTGGACTCAACAGCACCATCAACGTCACCATCACCAGCAAAAAACCATCAAGATTGACGAACAAGGATCACCGGGCACAACATCATCAGCAAGGAAATATCCTTCTGATTTCATCTTGTCACAGGCCACATCAGCACTTTCACGAACAGATAACTAGAAAATGCACAATGCAGTCTATCATAAGTTGCAACAATTACCAGAGAACCAGTCCAGAATAAAAGCATAGAAAAAGGATAGTATCATGTTACATAACGAACAAAATCACTCTGTAGCGAAAACTGTTAAGTCCAAAACTAGTTTTACACCACTACCAAGACATTTTAGAAGCTAGTATTAAGTCTAGTAAAGCACAAAACATTCAACCTTAACAGGAGCCCAGTAAACCAAAATAGGAACCGCGATAAGCATCCTCCCAGGCATAAGTTGCACATCAATCCTGTAAGATAACATTTTAGATTAACCATATAATTGTACGAAAGATCATTATGCATTCAGCAAAAGAAAGTGAACAAACATGCAACAAATAACAACCTCATTTGGGCTACGAGGAGATGGACTCCTGGAATTTGCACCACGATCTTGGGGTGAAACATTTCTTGAAGGTGGGGAACGTACAGAATGGCTACCTTTATTGGGGCTTGAGGGAGGAGTCCGATGGGGTGTCAGGCTCCTTTCAGGACTAGGAATATGCCTAATTGGTGAAGCACTACAATTTAAAGATAGGTTACTTGAAGCTGCACGATACATCAATAACAGGTAGGTACATAATGCTACCTGTCATATGAGACGCTCCTACTCCTTCGATCATCTCTGCCACGGCCTCCATAATAATCAAGACTACCGCTGCGGCTTCGGCTTCGACTTTGGCTTCTGCTTCGGCGGCGGTGATCTCTTTCCCGTTCATGGTATCTGTCACTTTCATATCTCCCTCTGCTTCGACTATGGCTTCGCCTCCTATAATCCTTCTCGCGATAATCATCTCTATACCTGATACAATTTCATACATGACATTAATCAAGGCTCATCTGGCTGCTAAGATCAAGAATGGAGAGCTTGGCAAGTTGACTTGGCCAATCCACCAAATCACATGATTTTAAAAGCTAGGTCTAAAAGAAAAATCTAACTCAGGCATAAAAAAAGAGCTTGAAATGGTCGGAGTTAAACGATATGTTGAGTCATAGACTTAGCCATGTTAGCCCACTTTCTCAGACATGGGTATAACTTATACACCTGAATCAATCTGAGTCATGATCAAGAAAGGGTCATGGCCTGTAGGTTGCTTTAAGAAGAAAACAGGAAACTCATACATATTTGTGGGTTGCCTTACCTTTTAGATGCTGCTGACAATAGAACAACAGAAGGCAAATTTTGGAGGGCTTATCACTCCCTTTTCTGTTCTGTAATTACCATGATATATACAGAGAAGGCATAAAAACAAAGCACGAAGAGAACAGAGAAAATGGAAAACAAACATTATGGATAGGAACCATCCACCAGCTTACGCTGAGGTTAGTAGCTTTCTCTTCCCTTGTCCCTCAACTTCCTTTTTGTCACTCTTTCTTGTTTCCCCTTCTTTCTTCTTTGTTTTCTGCAGGGACCATCCTTGCAGAAGAGTTGCTGTGTTTTTCTATTTACTTTTTTTTATTTTTTATGTTTTGTCATGCTCTGAAAGTTAAATCAGATATATACACCATGTTGGCTCATGTTGTTTCACTGTATTTTTTTAGTATTTGATGATTTCTTTTGTTTCATAGGGGGCTTCTTATTTGACTACAGGTATAATCATTGACCACCAGATTTTAGTTCAATTTGTTGCTTTTGTAACTTGAACTAACCAAGGCTAAATCTGCAGGATTGATTTTATGAGATGTACATATACAGTTTTGGCAGGTTTCTTTAGAAAAAGTGGTGACTCAGCTGACACAACATTGGCAAAGATGGCATATACATTAATATCATTAGAAGGTGAGAATGGTGTGAACATAGTAAACAAGTTATAGAACTTAAAACCAGACTGGCTCATTAATCAGTACTCACAATTCTAATAGTTCAAAATTCAATATATCATCTCTTGCTAGATCCAGACACCCTAAAATGTTGGAACAAAGCACATCATAGGCCTCAGATTATTCCTTCTGATTCTTGTTTATCAATCATTAAACTTAAAGACACCAATTATTATACAGAATCAGGTGGAATGTAATGACCATATATCAACAAGGCTGAATGAGTCATGATTAACCTGGTCCTTAATACTACATGCCTTTAACCAGGTCCATTATAAATTTTATCATATAATTACCACATGTAGTTTCAGAATGACCATTGGAAAAACAAGAGTTCCCTAAGCTTGAAATAAGTTTCTGCTGATTATTCGTTTTTCCTTCCATATGTGGATTGAAGAGCCTATTAGTCATAGGTATTAACCACATACAAGAGATGCACCTATATATTAATCAATATTCTATGACACCCAAATATTTGCATTCAACTAGAAGCACATAAACAACATAATGAGTACCATCATAGTAGGCTTATTAAACACTAATTCATATAGATAATATTGCAAGTCCATCATTATCATGTCATGGCAACACCAGTTATGCATGATGCCATCTCCTAGGTACTTGATGATAAATCTACTTAAAACTTCAACAAAAGTGTCACCTTTTCCATTATTGTACAGATCAAAGTTATTGTTAAAAAACGAAGAAGCCACACAAACATAGACAAACTATCAAGGAGATCTCAGAAAAGCCATTTTAGTTCTTCATGATGCCTTACCTATGCCGAGGGCTGCGACTTCTTGACCTTCCCCTTGTCTTTGGGATTGCTTCCACAATTCTTCCTTTCTGACTGCAGTAAATGACAAACAACATAACATGCAACAATGAAAAGTATCATATGATGAGTAGAAACTGAACATATCATAACATATACAAAAGATCAGTTGCATATATAGAAATTTATATTGCACTCCAAAAGGTGATGTGATAGACAAGATCAGCAAAACCATAATAAGTTTGTATAAATCCAACAAAATGTGGAGCAACAAAGCACACACCAGTAACATCATCACTTGTATTAATGTGGGGATCATGTCAGTCATCTTGATAATATTATCTTGGTTAATGAATTCAACAATATTTTCAACTCAACCAGCTAGCTTAGACTATGGCCAGCAGTGAGCTAGTTTGGGCCTAAGAAATTAACTTTTTCAGATAGCAAAGTCCCAAATTTCATTATTAAAACAAGGCAAAAATGAGGAGTTATAAATAATTTTGCATCTCCACCTTAAATGTTTATTAAACATTACGCCTCTAAACAAGTGGCTGCTTCAGTTTAATAGGAGGTAGAACCCTCTAAAGCACTAACAACAGACAATTGCTCCATCAATCTTATGATTGTATTCCAAAAAAGAAAGGCAGCATATATATATATATATATATATATATATATATATATATATATATATATATATATATATATATATATATAATCCTACTACAACTTATCCAATATTTTTCGAGAATTCTCTAACTGTTATAGTGCTGAAAAAAATCCAAAATTAGTCCTTGCTTCTGTCCTGCTACTGCTACTCATACTTCCAGGTCCAGCCGAACCCCTAGACCCTTCGCTGTGCCAACAAACTTGCACTTGTGCAACAAAGGGAGGCGTCCAGATCCCATTTGGCTTTCAAGTGTTAGAGCCTGTTGATGCAATTTGGGTAAGTATCAGAAATTGGAAACTTCAAATGTTGTGTGGGGCTGTTGAGCCCTGTTTTTAGACCAAATAGGACTTTTCAGCTCCACATTCTCATTAGGATAGGCCTCAAAACACTTTCCTTCCCCGCTTATTCTGGGTGAACTCAGACCTGTCACTGTTTCTCAGTGCGATTAGCATTTGCAACCAAACCAATAAAGCAATCCAATCTGACTAGCCGAATTGGTGTGGCACAATGGATGGTCAAATGAATTGGTGTGGCACTGTGGTTACTAATACTGCATTGACAAGAAAGAGATTCCACATCTCATAACCAGGTCAATTTAAGAAAAATATAACTGTTAAAGTAAAACTAATTCAAACTGTTCTGTAAGTTTAACATGTTAGGATCTTAATGGCACTAAAACGGAAAGGGTGAATTAGTACAATAACGTTTTTAATCGATTTTAAAACTAGATCAATAAATCAACACGTTTCAGAAACTTGATTAATCAAGTTAAAGTTGCAAGTAAATATAATACAAGTAAAGAGCAAGTAAAAAGAGACAAACCAATTTATAGTGGTTCAATCTTCCCAATCTACGTCCACTCTCGATTTATTTTTTCTCGAGACCATCAATTTTCAGTATCAATCTTCTTTCCAATGGACGAATATCAACGACCCTTATTACAGCTTTCTCTTTTTTCAAGCTGAGGAGATAACTTTCACACTCTCTTTTTACATAAGATCTCTCACCTAGGCCTGGTTTAGACCACCGATTTAACCTTCTAACAGGCACAATTCAGCCCTGGCTTATGCCTAATGGCTTCCTTAACAAGTTGAGATGGTTTCGACCCAATATCAACTAAAATTAACCCATAGTGACATCAATCAAGACTTTGATAAATCAATCATGCATACAACACATTTAAGAAACTTTCGACACGTTGTACTCGCTTTCAACATGTCGTCGAAACCTCCTACACATCGTTCTTTCATTCAACATATCGCCCTTTTCAATTATATGTCGACTTCTCATGACTTCCAACCTTCCGAAGCAATATCCGATCCTTCCTGCACAATGCCCAAACCTATAGCATGCAGTCCGATCTCCAACACATCGACCAATCCCTCGACTTGACGTCCAATTTTCGACACGACAATTTTTCAATGCAACGTCCGACTCTCTTGCTCGATAGTTGACCCTTCTGTGATCCAAGTCCGTGATCGAAGTATTTCCCGCATCACTTAACTCAAAAACATATTTAGTCCGATAAACTCATCAATTAGTTTCATAATCAAAATCCGAGATTCAACATAACAAACTTCCTTAACCCATATTAAACATATAATATCTTTGATTTCTTAATGATGATATCCTGAATTCTCCACAATCATATTCTATTTCAATATTTTGGTATTCTCTTTTCCAATCATATATATATATATATATATATATATATATATATATATATATATATAT